AAAATAAGATTGTTCAGCCGTCTCGTTGCCTTTTGGTAACCCTCCAGACATACTTCGGACGTCTATGGTCCCATACAACCAGCACCGTTTTGCCGGGACGCTTTAATTCAGAGCTTCCCTCCAACAAAACCATGATGACAGATTGAATCCATGAAGCGATGGGAAGCGATCTCCGCCAACCCCCAACGCTTCGAATCACCCCAAACGCGAGCCAAATCGCATACAACCACAAACCCTCGCTAAAACTAAGCATACCTCACGCTCTTAGACCTGTCCGTAAAACCAGTATTTTGTAAGCTCCAACATTGATCGGTACTGTGCTGTACCGCATCTGACAACCGCATCCAAATGTGGCCGCCCCAGTTAGTTTAATAAGCCTGCTAACTGCTCTCCCAGAAGTGCAGCACTGGATGGCCAAAAGTTTTATTCTAAACGCGCCAGAAACGCCCCACGTCTTTTGACTTAGTACTCTTCGAGCACAGCAGCGAGTCAAACATTGTTAGAAAAGAGTGTCCTACCCGCTCATCAGCTGATGTAAACAACGTGCTTAATGCATGCTTTGGAATTACTACATCTTGTTTTTTACGAGGGTTGACAACGAAGTGTTCATAAGAATCGTCGGGGGTGCCGGTGTTTTCGAAAAAAAAATGCCGATTTGTAAGTATGTCGGCCCTGCATTCGAACCCTGGACAATTACCTTACATTGATGAGCCACCGACGTCCCCCTACATCCTTATTATAACAATCATTTGTTTCTTGATTGGATATGAAGCTCAGATTCCTTACATTTTCTTCTCTTTGTGTTTAATTTTTTTCTCATTCTTTCTTTCTTCATATGTTTCTTTCCTTTCTCTAAGGAAATAGTAATAGTATTTGGATCAAAAAATTATTTTATTATATTAAAAACGACTTTACTTCTAGAGAATGGCACTAGTCTCTTGAGAAATTTAGTAGTCCTTTAAATAAATTTCAAAAGTTGCGAATCAAATGTTTTCTTGTATATTATTTCAAGAACCTGCAACTGCTCACTTATGTTTTTTGAAGACACTCGTCTGTTAAGTGTATTTCGTGTCAAAAGTACCTAAAACTACCTTCTCAACACTGTCTACCAATTACGTTCACTCTCCGAAAAATTGGTGGGTAGCTTTTTATGGTGTAAATGGGCCGGCGAGGGAAAATTCGAGTTCCATATCTAAAACACCTTTATTATTTTGAAACCACCCACGGAAGGGAGAAATAGAATTTTTGCATTAAAAAAATATATTTTAACATTGGTTGTAATAGACCAAATAGATTTTGAGAAAATAAAGAAAAAATGGGAAATGTTTGGCCATGTTTTTAACAAAGGTAGCCATGAAAAATTTATGAAATACGGTAAATTATAGATTTGGCAGCTTAAAGGGAAAATACAAACTTTCCTGACAAAAATATGCATATAAAAATGAAAATCCTTGGAGCAGAATTAGAATTATTAAAAATTGGATTAATTAATAAAAATTTAATTCAAGGTTTCTACCGGTTGAAACATTTTCCACATTTTTCACAGTTGTAGGGCAAGTTCATTGGGGTTGACTACCAAATTGTGGATTTCATCTTCTGATGATCATTGCCTTCACCATCTTATTACGGGTGCGAGCCTTCCTCAGTTTGCAAAATGTTCGCTGTAGAAAAGACATTCTGGTTTCCTCAGCTTTTTCAACCACAATGTTCACTGGGCGGTCTTCCCCTGGATGTTCCACGGATCCAGTCTGTCGGTGAATCTAATGGTCATCAGGAATGCATACATATTTTATTTTTTATATGTTCTTATTAAAATTCCTAATTTTCAACTTAAAAAGTATGATGATTCAAATGCAGTTCATTATTGAATGTTTCGAAGATGCTAAATTATATACAAATAAAATCGAATAAGTAATATTTGTGGCTACATATTTAAACTAATTTCGAACACAAAGACTAGCCGTCGCTGTTTGCATCATTTAATTTTTAATGTCGTAGCCAAGTTAAAATGAGTTTACCCCAAGCTCAGTTTTTCAAGGCAAGGCACCAAATGGTAAAAAATGTTGGTGGTAAAACTGATTTGGTCGACGAGGCGAAAAAATGACAAGCGTGCGCTTTTCTCCGTTACATTGCTCACAATGTCGCGTTCATCCCCAGAGACAGGTTGCCCAACTGTGAGTTGTTATGTCAAAACGTGAAAATTGTTTCAACCGATGAAAACCCGAGGTGACTAATTGAATTTATTATAAAGAAGAAAAAACAAAATAACTACTACCTATAGGATTGTTTCCCATATTTTTCCCATAGCCATTCTTACGTAACAAATAATTGGTATAATAAGGATGTTAATTTAAAAGTTTTCATCCAGGTTAACAGCGTGGACTAGCGGACAAGTTTAGGTATAATGTGTCTGTTGTTTTTTGACAGGTATTATGTTGTTTAAATCTTATGCTAAGGACCGTCGGTGGCCACAACGGTTTAGGCGTTGAAACAGGGCTCATCACTGTAAGGTAAAGGTCCCGTGTTCGAATCCAACGGCCCTCATTTGAACCCGACGTACTTACAAATGGGCTTTTTTCAAAAACGCCAGCACTCCGAGGGGCATATAATTTCTAGTTGAAATACCCTCGTAAAACTCTTATGCTATATTGATTAGAAAACCAAAGAAATGCTACTTGTTCTGTTTAATTTTAATATAATTTCAATTTCTTCTAGTGTATGAATAACCGGACAATTAAGGAAATATTTGAGTACTATTTTAACATGGCGTAAAACCGTAAGAAAAAGACGGGTAGAAGGGATTTTTTTTCTTGCCTTATGATCTTTGCATATTAGCCATGACGAATTCTTATATATGTTGTTCAAATTGGGGGTTATCGGGAAAAAAGGGCCAGAGGCGACGGTGGGAATCGAACCAACGACCGCGGCGTGAGAGTCTCTCATGCTAGCCACTCGGCTACCGCGGTAGAAGAGATCAATAAGCAATTAATTCTTTAGTCGTTAGATATCATGGATGAATCATCTCTGAAAGAGAGAGATAGTGAGAGGGCGTATTAAAAATACAGCATGCATTTAAATAAAGAGTTCCTAAATGGCAATTAACGAGAAGGGCTTGAATAGTAGTACAAGACCGTGACCCGTCCTCGTAAATCATTGAATATTCAGAGCATATTTCCTTCGGGAGGGCCGTTACCCAAGAGGGCAGATTTATTTCTGCACAGCGTCTTTAAGACTTTAAGAGAGTCGCTCGTGGCGGTTGTCGGGAACAGGAAACAATAAGTTGACAAAGGGAGGGCCAGGCCAATCCTTTCACGTCGACGACAATCACACGTGACGACGTGAACAAATCGAGCACTGTAACTATCAGGCCGGGCTTTTACCCTCTTTTTTGTTTTGTAAATCACCGGGGAACCCCCTTCAATTATCATACAAACTTTGTCAGAAATGCGGAGACTTATTTTCCCCCTTACGAAGTTCGACAAAAGCCCGTTTGAAGGCCCATTTGTGATACAACCGACACACCTTGGGCCCTGTAATGTATTATATTCATTTATTCCAAAATGCTCACCCCAAACGACTTGCAAAAACACGGATAAAAAACGTCTCGGCGATGCTTCCTTTTTCCGGGAAACGGCGGCCTCGATTCAATTTCTTTCCGGTGAAAAAGGGCTGATGCTTACATTTGAATCCCCCCTTTCCTTTTATGTAAAAAATTACTATTTCTAATATGTTGAAGTCGTGAGAAGCGGTCAGGATTAATCTATTTTAGAAAAACTCCTGTTTCATTTTTTATATCGTTTCGACCTTTATTGAGTCATCTTCAGGGCCTGGGGAATTACAAACGCATGTTGACTTCGTACCATTATTTTCAAACAACGTATGTTTTGTAATTCACCCAGGTTTTGAAAATGACCCGAATAAAGGTCTAAACGTCGTCAAAAAATGAAAAAGGTGTTTTTCTAAAATATTTCAACCCTGACCGCTCCTCAAGACGTCAACAAATTATTGAACAACCGGCCACTAAAAAAGACATATAACGATTTCTAACGGCTGGCCATGGCAAAAGCACTAAAAACGCCATAAAATGCATTATCATTTCCTGTGGATGATTCGTTTATAAAATATAAAATAACGAAATGGTACGTGACAACCGGCAAATATGAAAAGCAATACAAAAAATGATTGAATATCAAAAGATAGCTCTCGATTTAATTCACAAGTTTTCGTGGTCCGCTTGACCAATTAATATCTTTCAATTAATTAACGTTTTTAGTTGAGATAAAAAGTCAGTGTCACGAGCGGGATTCGAACCCACGATCTTCGGCTAGATACGCCGCTACACTACCACTTGAGCTATCGTGACTGTGATCCTCTCGGACACTAACTTCCCACCTCAACCCCACCTTTGAATTTTCCCTCCTTTTTGTCATTTTTAAAATGTCGTGTAATCTTTTGATCCTCGGCGACAAATGAAATGGCCACGGAGAGCTTTAGTGAAGTATACTTCATTTGAACTTATTAAATCCACTAGTTTTCGTGGTCCGCTTGACTAATTAATATCTTTAAAATCATAAAGGTTTTTAGTTGAGATAAGGTCGTGGGTTCGAATCCCGCTCGTGACACTGACTTTTTAACTCAACTAAAAACCTTAATTAATTATCGATTTAATGTTGTTTCTCTTGTATTATTAAACTCAAATTTTTTTCAATGTTGATTTTAGTTTTAAATCGTTTGTTCTAACATCTGTACGGCCTATCTTCTTTGAAGCATTTATCATTTTAATTTCTTTGTTTATTGTATGAAGTGTTCTGAAACGTGGTAAATGTTGACTTATTTAATGGAAACGCTACAAAGTCAAACAATAGTGGTGTCTAGTTGGCCCAATTTCAACAGTCGTCTCGATGTTGACCGACCATCGGATTAATCCATGGCAGGAATAGTTTAATTGTTATCAAACACCGTGATTGTTGGTTTAATGTACTTTTCTTTATTTGTTTCAGGCTGCTGTTTCGTAACGTTCTACACCCGCAAATCTGCCCTGGATGCTCAAAACGCCCTTCACAACATCAAGACCCTACCCGGGGTGAGTTTTACCTTCCCATATTTCCTATTGCAGTTCCCGTGAAATAGCGTCCGAGTCCCGGCCCTGTTACGGGACCCCTCTCGAGGGATTAAGAGCTCGTATCGTCCGTTAGCTTAATGTGACACCGGAAATAAGCTTATACTATGGGATTTAACCCTACCGTACATAAATAAGCTGCTAAAGCGTCATGTTAATGCTAATGAACGATTGCCAGAGAGCAGTAACGAATGTTCGATAATAATGGATGTGGGACATCCGCTGGCCATGGCAATGTACAATTTTTAAACGACACTGACTATTGATGTTTAAAGTTGATTTTATGAAACATTCGTTCTTCAGTGATACAATCTATGATCTTGTAAACGCTTAACTGTGTGAACACGGTGTTAAAACTACATTAGATATTAAATTATTCAACAATTATAAATCACGAGAAAAGAAAATATATACGTCAAAGCAGCTTTCTTACAATCGCTGGTTTATTCAACAAAAAGCGATTATGTAAAAATAAATTATAATAATTACTTCGACCCTCAAGCGTTTTGTTGTCTTACGGTACATCATTTTTAATTTTAAATGTAAACTGCACTAACGCTGGTGTATATGAGAAGCGTACAGCATTTGACCAATTTGGCCAATATACGCGTTGCAACTTCACTTGAAGGCCAGAAAAATCATATGTACCCAACCAAACCCTCTTTAACCAACCAACGATTAAAAAATGTACTCTTATATGAATATTCGGAAATCGTGAGATGCAGTCTTGTGTGATGTAGGTTTCAGAAAAACATTTTCTTTATCGTGCCAACGTTTCGATCTTTATTGAGATCATCTTCAGGGCCTGGGATTTACAAACATTGTTTAAATTTAACAAGTACATGTAGGATGTGGAAAAAAGTGAATTTATACAATGTAAAAAAATATTTTTTATATTCAATCAATGTATTTCTATTCAGTTTTTCTGCGTTAGAAAAATACTTTGATTGAATATAAATTTTTTTTTGCATTGTATAAATTCACTTTTTTCCACATCCTACATGTACTTGTTAAATTTAAACAATGTTTGTAAATCCCAGGTCCTGAAGATGATCTCAATAAAGATCGAAACGTTGGCTAGAAAAAGTAACTGTTTTTCTAAAACCTACATCACACCAGACCCAATCTCACGATTTCCGAATATTCATCGACTAACGGTCACTAATCTCCACACATTTGTACTCGTATCTTTTTTGAAGTTGCTAAAAATCCAAGTAATTAAGAAAAAACTTACATACAGAATAGTGGCACATAATAAAGATACTAGTTTATGATTAAAGCCAGAAACACACTTACCCGATGCTACGCCATGCGACGCTACCCGATGCTACCCGACGCAAATTCAAACTCCGCTTTTCCATAAGGTTGCATTATCCCCGTGCACATCTACCCGATGCTATGCCACGCTAACCTACCCGACGCTCTGCGATCCCCACTGTCCAGATTTTCGTCGGGTCGCATCGAGTACAGCCCAAGACAAAAGAACCTGACATTCATATTTTTATTCCAAACTACATGTATTATTGTCTTTATATTAATTACAACATACTTAGTTTAATATAAACCAAATTAACTATGATTAAAAATTAATTAGTTTTTATTTAAAAAATTAATTTTAATGGTTTGGAAGAAAATTAATCAAAACACCGGAATACGATTTTTGATATAATGAATTTTACTAACAATTTATTACACGGTGTTACTCATAAAATTTAATTAACAACTTATTTCATAGTTTTTCTCGTAAAATTACACCATTTTCTAATGTCGGGTAGCATCAGAACAGGACACTCATATTTTTTGTATTTTATTTCAAACTAAGTACATGTTATTATGTCGTTATATTAATTACAACATGTTATTTTAATGTAAACCAAATTAAACGAGATCAAAAATGCATAAGTTTTTATAAACATTGTTTAATTATGATGGTTAGGAGTAACTTTATTTAAAACAATTAAGTTTAACAAACAATTTATTAGATGGTTGTGCTCATAAAATTTAACTAACAATGTATTACAAGGTTTTGCTCAAGATAGTGCATTAAGAACAAAAGATACGTTGCGATTGTGATAGTGATTATTGTGATAAACGCTGTGGACTGTACGCGACGTGTGCTTGCGTCGGATAGCATCAGGTAGCGTCACATGGCGTAGCATCGGGTAAGTGTGTTCCTGGCTTTGACGAAACGTGTACCTTCTTTTAAAAATAGTATAAAACGACCATTTCCTTAGAAACATCAACATTGTGAGATTTCTCGTAAGAAGATGTTGAAGTTGAAGTTTGATCTCAGATGGTTAAGTTGGAAGTTTTCTTATAATTCTCTGACTTTCTGATATGATGAAAACACATTATTTACTTCATCGGAAACGTTTGCACTACAAGAAATTCATTATAATGACTGTTTTGTAAAAAACCTTTTATTTATTTTATGGCAACTATTTTTTTTTTAATTTTCCCAGCCGTAATTTTTTAATTAAAAATCAATTTAAATTATTATATTGACCGGGCATCCACCACCTAAATGTGATAAGGATGTAACTCTGTTAACAACTCCAATTAATTATTCATAATTTTTAGCGTAAAAAATTAGTGTCACGAACGGGATTTTAATTTTTCGTCTAAACCAAAAACCTTAGAAGAATAATGAATATGGTCAATTATAGCCACTAAACAAATATGGATTATGTTAACAATATTGCATGGAGTTTTCGTTTGATTCGATATTTTGATTTTCTGCTTCCCTGCACTTGCTATGTTTTATTAAATTACAATTTCATGTAATTTTTTAAATATTTGACATCGATTTTTTTCAAATACTTACTATTTATTGCCTTCACCATTTTTTTAGGAAATCAATTTTATGTACTTCATTACAAGTCAATTTTTCTCACCTTACGAGATATAGTATTAGTATGAATGTTTTAGAGGTTTAGTTTGAGAATTGGTATCCAGAATGAAGGTATATGGGATCTGTGCTTAGATCATTAAGCCAAAATGCTATACTTAAGTTAAGCGATGTGCGGAAAAATTATTTCGGTTCGGAGCATATATTTCAAATCTAAATTGCACACGTTGGCGTTTCTGTATTGATGTTCACCTATGTATGATTGCGATTATTAAAGGAAACATGTAAGCATAGGATATTCATCTTCAACACTTTTTTCCCATTATTGTGTATTCTACCGAAAGTGTATTGTCTAATCAAAATCACTCACACATTTTTTACTCATTGTTGCTTGTTACATAATTGGGGGTAGTTGTAATACACTGTAAATAAATTTAGAAAAAATAAGACCGTTATTGTCACATATTTTTTAGGCTGAAAAAATGTTTTAGAAGAACTTGAAAATATTGTTTAGATGATTCCATTGAAAAATGGCAAAAAGGAGGGAAAATTATAAAGGTGTAGTTGAGATGGGAAGTTAGTGTCCGAGTGGATCGAGGTCACGATAGCTCAAATGGTAGAGCAGCGGCGTATCAAGCCGAAGGTCGTGGGTTCGAATCCCGCTCGTGCCACTGACTTTTTTATCTCAACTGAAAACCTTAATTAATTGTTTAGATGGTATATTCATTTATGTTACATTGTATTTTTTCCATTATTATTATATTTTCTTTTTTCACAAAAAGTGCCCGCCTAGTTTTTTTTATGTTAAGAGTTTGTTCTTTTATCAAATGTAGAACAAACTGTGCATAAAGCATACTTTTTGGTGCACGGTTGACCTTGATGACCCAAACGATAACTTGGTTGCACTGAGTTGTTCATTTTTCCTCATGTGTAGCAATTATTATGAAACGAAATTACTCATTAACGATACAGAATTCAGACAAATTAAACATGCATTAGAAGGTTGCCGACCGTGTAAATATTAGGTGTACGTGACGTGGAGGTGGGAATGCCTTTGCCACTGTTTATACAAGGATATATCATTACATGGCTGCCTACGCCTTTTGCCTCCCTATTTCAGGATTGTCTCCTCGATGTGTAATCCGTTTAGAAACGCAGAATCTTTTTTTTTCTTTCCAGCGAATTTAAATCTCTGATAAATTACATATGCCGTTTATATTTCATGCCCGTTTGAGCGTCAGTCCAGAAAGCCGGCAAATCTCGTGAAGGTTTTCTCCGAAATATAAAATTTTGATATAGTGATGTATTTGATCCATTTACAAAACTAATAATAATAATAGAAAGGCAATAATAAAAGTCTTAAATTACCTAAAACATTAATTTAAAATATATTTTGCAATTATTTCAATTATAAGACAAAATATTACATCTAGCAAATTTTGCTTTTTACAACTACATATGAATCTCTAGCTTTTGCGAATTTTTGTCTGAACTTTGCGCAATACGTAATCAGATGTCTCTTCGAGGCTTTTTTCTCATTATACATAATACAGCGATACACAACTTCAAGACAGGTGAAGTTCGAGTTAAGTTGTATCTACGTCGCATTCATTCAAGAACTTTCCACCGTAATCGCCTACTCTTAACCGAGCACAACATGCCTTTTCTACAATCATGGCGGCTGTGAGGGTAGTAGGTACTTCTAGCAACACATTGGAGCTCAATGAGGTCATAGGCTGCAGTGTTAAAGATATTTCAACAGTGGACTACACCATCTATAAGCTGATACTGAAGATGCTGCTGGTTTTCCGCGTCATTGATCTCAACATATGTATTTATTATATTCACTAGTTTTGGTGGTCCGCTTGACCAATTAATATCTTTCAATTAATTAAAGTTTTTAGTTGAGAAAAAAGTCAGTGTCATGAGCGGGATTCGAACCCACGACCTTCGGCTAGATACGCCGCTACTCTACCACTTGAGCTATCGTAACTTCGATCCACTCGGACACTGACTTTTTATCTCATCTAAAAACATGGTACAATATTTTTCATAACAATGTTTTCTTTCTGTTACTTGGTGTTAACATGTTTTTAATCCCAATCCTTACAATTAT